TAACACTACGCCAGCTAAAGCGGAGAGTGTGAGCACACGAGGCTAATATGCAAATACTGCTGGCAATTATGGAATGCTTGGTTGTGAAATAAGGTTTTTTTTTTTCTCACGCGCAGGTTAGGCAAAGCCAGTTAGCGCTTCTTATTTTAGCGAATCGCTAGACTCATTTTAAATCAGCTGATGGCAGTGATCTGTGCATATTATGTATTCCTGGGTTTCTGCAAACTCTTAAATATCAAGCGATCAGTCAAATGGTGTTATTGATCATATTATGTGTTCAGCAGAATAAAGAAACTCATCAAGGTTTGAAACCACTTAAGAGTGAGTAAATAGTGAGTATATTTTAATTTCCAGAATTATCCTGTTAACATTTAATCTGTAAAATATACAGTCTAATTTTATTCTACTTGTACAATTTTTTTTAGGACAATATTTTTTTTTCTATTAAGTACAACTACTTTTTTTTAACACTTTAACTGCTTTTTAATATAAAACATAACATAGGTGTAAACTACCAGTCCTACTGCACCCAACCCAGTCTGAGTTGGGATTGAACCGGCAATTCTTTGTATGGCAGTCGGTTGTTCTAACAAGGAGGCCATGGCCTGTAGAGCACCTTTTGGGGTCAGAGGAGTGAGGTTAACCTGCATAGCACTTCACTAGCTGGCCTCCGTTACACTCACCCCCCTAAACCTCACCCCCATTACAGACGAGCCCCCACTTTAACTCACTGTCCCTACTGCATCCAACCCGGTCAGGGGCTAGGATCGAACCGGTGGAGTCGGTTGCTCTATTAAGAAGGCTATATACCCATGGCCTCTAGCATCTGTCGCTAGAGCATCTTTTGAGGTCAGTTTACCTGCATAGCACTTCACTAGCTGGCCTCTGTTACAAATATAATATTTAATTAGTAACTTATTATTAAAACTGTACAATTAATAAGTACTACAATAAAGGACTGGATAAATACTAACATTTAATTTAGTACTAATATCCAGTGAAAAAGTACTTGTGGGCGACGCGGTGGCAGAGTGGGTAGCACGTTCGCCTCACAGCAAGAAGGTTGCTGTTTGGAGCCGCAGCTGAGTCAGCTGGCATTTATGTGTGGAGTTTACTTGTTCTCCCCGTGTTTGCGTGGGATTCCTCCGGGTGCTCTGGTTTTTCCCACAGTCCAAAGACATGTGGTACAGGTGAATTGGGTATGCTAAAATTGACCATAGTGTATGAGTGTGTGTGAATGTGTGTATGGATGTTTCCCAGTGATGGGTTGCGGCTGGACGGGCAACTGCTGCGTAAAAAATATGCTGAATAATTTGGCGGTTCATTATGCTATGGCGACCCCAAATTAATAAATAGACTACACTGGAAAGAGAATGAATTAATGAATGAAAAGGTATTGTGTGTATATAAAAAGCACTAAAAAGCAACTATAATGAATAAGTACTTGTCAAAATACACTAGTATAAAAAATTCAACAGATAGAAGCATGACTTATGGATTACTTTACTTTTTTTATTGTCCACAAGTGAAAATTTACACAACCACATTAGCACTCACATGCCACATATCATGGAAAACAAGCAACACAAATACATTTCATAGCTAGCAGCTAGCTCTCTGCAACTATCATATGGTTGCCCACTGAAGCTAAGCAGGGCTGCGCCCGGTTAGAACTTGGATGGGGGACCACATGGGAAAGACTGGAAAAGCAAGGTTGCTGCTGGAAGTTGTGTGAGTGAGACCAGCACGGGGACGCTCAACCTGCGTTCTGTGTGGGTCCTAACTGTGTGAGTTCCCGACTGACTAGTCATTAAAAATCCCAGGATGTCCCTCAAACCAGGGCATCCTGGCCAAATCTGCCCATGACATCTCCATAACACAATTGACTTCATCACTCAATTTCCTCTCCACCAATCAGCTGTCTGGTGCAATATGGCTACCGTCATATCATCAAGATGGATGCTGCACACTGGTGGTAGATCAGGAGATTCCTCCCAAAGATGTGTAAAAAGCGATTTGAGTGTCCAGAAAAGCGCTATATAAATGTAAGGAATTATTAATATAATATAATCACATTAAAAACTAAATTAAACCCTAAAACCCAGTATTTAAAATTCTAATGGCAGTCGACAAAAGGGACATTTAATACTCATTTTTCTTTACTTATGGTTGCCTAAAACGTCTTTTTGATTAAATGTTAAACAGCTTGCTAATGTCATGATCACCGTCTAGCAGCTATAGTAAAAATGATTATAAACATGGATATTGCTGTCCAGCTTAAAACGGGATGGAATAACAGAGACTGAGGTTTTACTGGTTAATTTTCAGAGAGGGAGTTTAAAGGCATCAGGAACTAAAAGCTCAAGTAAATATGACCAAATAGGAATAAGTGGATTTAACTGCATTTGCTGTTATTACAGTTATTATTGTTATTCTGAGGCATTTGTGGAATTATAGTCATTATTTATGACATTTGGACTGGAATTTTTTATATATATTTATTTGGAGTGTTCCAGAAGCATAAGACACTTGATGAGAAGATTGGTCTGTTGAGTTTGTTGCTTGTTCACTTCCCTCAACATTATTATGAACAAATGTCAGTCTTTTTGTAATTAGCAGCATGGGAATACGGCTTAAATAGACATAGTGCTATAGAATGAATACTAATCACATACTCACTGAGTCATCCATTCAACGCAGCAAATCTTTGCTGTAGTGCTGCAAGGTCTCCTATAATACAGTGATTCTTTTCAATGACTATTGAAATGAAAACTGAATTGATAAATGACACCAGTTTGTATGGTGTTCACATTTCTTCATGACAAACTCTTTTGTCTTTTAGATGAATAGAATTTTTCCTTGAATGTAAAAACATGTATTTTTAATACATGACCGCAATTATAAATAGAATCTATTTATACTCAAGTTTTTGTTTTATTTGTGTGTTTGTTGTTTATTAAGTGGTGTTCAGCAAGTTTGTTAGTGGACACAAAAGTATTAGCAGTGGGTAGCGCTGTCGCCTCACAGCAAGAAGGTCAGTGGTTCGAGCCTCGGCGGGGTCAGTTGGCATTTCTGTGTGGAGTTTACATGTTCTCCCTGTGTTCTTGTGGGTATCCTTCAGGTACTCTGGTTTCCCCCACAAGTCCAAAGACGTGCTATATGTGAATCGGGTAAGCTAAATTGTCTGTAGTGTATGACTGTAAATGAGAGTGTATGGGTGTTTCCCAGTGATAGGTTGCAGCTGGAAAGGCATCTTATGCGTAAAACGTATGCTGGATAAGTTGTTGGTTCATTAACCCTGATTAATTAAGGCACTCTGCCGAAAAGAAAATGAATAAATGAATGAATTTTTAATTAAACTTAATAGATGTGCGATTATGCTTATTATAGAAAGTTATGATTGACCAATCATAATCAAGTATTCCGTAGAGTTGTAATAAATGTAAAAAAAAAACAAAGATTTATTAAACCTGATTAAGAGATTTTTTATTAGATTTTTAAGTTAAAGTTTAATTAAGTAATTATTTTTTGTCAGTTATTTTAAATCAAACCCAGAATTTAATAAAAAAAATGAATAGAAATTGAATTATTGAAAATAATCAAATTGGTTTCATGGACCACACACCTTTGAACTTGTGGATGAAAACATTTCTTTTATTCATAGAAATGCGTATTGTGATAAATATTGATTTGCTCTATATTAACAAATTACAAATGCGAATGGTTTTGTTTATATGATGTGGCCACAGCTATATTACTCTGCAGCCCAAGACTGGTTACTCACTGAAGTTAAGCAAGGCTGAGCCTGGTCACTACCTTGATGGAAGACCTCATGGGAAAACTAGATTGCTGTTGGAAGCAGTGTTAATGAGGCCAGCAGGGGGCGCTCAACCTGTGGTCTGTGTGAGTCCTAATGACCCAGTAAAGTGAGGGTGACACTAGCCTATCAATGAGCACCATCTTTCGGATGAGATGTTAAACGGAGATCCTCACTTTGTGGTCATTAAAAATCGAATGGAACTTCTCGTTAAGAGCAGGGATGTAACCCCGGTGTCCTGGCCAAATTCCCTACATCGGCCCCTACCGATCATGGTCTTCCAATCATATACCGAATTGGCTTTATCACGGTCTCTCCACTTCCCCAATAGCTGGTGTGTGGTGAGCGCACTGGCGACCCTGTCCTGTGGCTGCCATCGTATCATCTATGTGTATGCTGCATTATATGATTTTACTACAATTTTTTTTATCATCATCTTATGCTACCTTTTTCACTTAAGAGGTATGCTAACATAATGTTTAAATGAAAACCATAATTTCACAGTTTAAATGATTACAGTTTAAATAATTGATATTTTAGTGGTAGATTTAAGCATTTAAAAATTTAAGTTATTCAAAAAGTTAAATACATTTTGTTGAGGGTATGAATAGGCATGACCTCATATATCTATTGTAATTTTATTTGTCATAATCTATTATACGATAATGTCTGCATTTATGTATGATTTTGTTTTAAATATATATGAGTGAAATAAAATTCACAGTCTTTTATACTGTTAGTCTTTTAAATTTAACTGAATAGTTAAATGAATGAAAATTGTGTCATCATTTACTCACCCTTGTTTCAAACTTTTGCGTTTCTTTCTTGTTGAACACAAAGATATTTTGAAAAAGGTTGCAAACCTGTAACCATTAAGTTCCACAGAACCTATTTGTCTTATACTAGGAAAGTCAATTGTTACAGGTTTTCAGCTTTCATCAGAATGTCGTCATTTTTGTTAAACAGAAACTCAAAAAGGTTTGGAACCAATTAAGGATGTGTAAATATTGGGTAAATGTACATTTTGAGTGAACTATCCCTTTAAAACAAAGCTCTTAAAGTAAATGAACATGGACATAATCTTCTCTGAAGTGAAAGAAACATTCATGAACTCAAAACACACCATCATGGCTGTTTAAAAGTTTGCTCAAAGTTTTCTCTCTCTTGTGTTTTTATTCTGTAGAGTCACAGTGCACATTGTGTGGTGAGGCCGAAGGTGAGTGTGTTCCTCGTCTGTGATAGTCTACAGTGTGTGTCTGTGTGAAGAGTTCAGAAAGCCCCCTGCTCTGGGTTTAAAGCTCATTTATCATGATGTGGTCATTGTGTTGTGATTCCTCTCCGCTTGCATCATCACAGCCAACTGTGGAGAATCCATGCTTCACTGCTGCTCGATCTGCTCTGCTCACATGACTGATCCACACTCACACATTCAGCAGGACAACTGCTCTCATCTTCTTTCTTTCTTTCTTTCTTTCTTTCTTTCTTTCTTTCTTTCTTTCTTTCTTTCTTTCTTTCTTTCTTTCTTTCTTTCTTTCTTTCTTTCTTTCTTTCTTTCTTTCTACCTTTTTTACTACCGTCTTTTCCTTCCTTCCTTCCTTCCTTATTACCTTCCTTCCATTCTTTCTTTCTTTCTTTCTTTCTTTCTTTCTTTCTTTCTTTCTTTCTTTCTTTCTTTTTTCTTTCTTTTTTCTTTCTTTCTCCCTTGCTTTTCATTTTTTTTCTGTCTTGTTTGATCTGATCTCGGGTTTCTTATGCAGATTTTGTGTTTTGCATGTTTCAGTGTAAATCAGTGCTGAATTTGCTAAATAGACTGATGAAGATTGATAAATGTTGTTTTCAAGACTAGTTTCTTCATCATAGTCCACATATATATGCTGTAAATTGTCCTAGAGGTAAAATATGAGGTCTCCCATTATAGTGTTTGCAATAAATAAACTTTTAAAAAGTGTTGTTATTCGTAGAGAAACGTATTAAAGCCACCAAATAGACCGTTTGTGAAAATAAAACAGCATACTTATTCTGACCTAGCTAATAATTCTAGCTGTGCTTATTAAAATTCTATTGTGCTTTTTAAAATGTATAAAAGATGAATTATTATTTTTTTACCTGATTACTTCTTGCTTAGTCGATATATGTTGGTTTGAAGCAAGAGACGCCATTTTAAAATGTAATAGACATCGATATAGTTACTTTCATTCATTTTATTCTTTAAGAAATTATAACTGCGAATGGTTTTAAAATACTATTTGAAAAATCATATGAAATCTAGATTAATATAGATACAATTTAGTAATTGTTTGTAAAATGTTTTTTATTTTTCTCCTATCATTTTGTGGATTCTTTCAATATTGAAATCATGTGATATTTTATATTGATGCAATGTATTTTTGTGCAGGTAAATGGTCTAAAAGATCAAATTTTTGTTTACTATTTTTAACACACATAAGCAGTATTTATTGAAGTAAACCACAATTTAACACTTTACTCAAAACCTGCTTATGGAAAATCCAGAGAATTGTCAACAACTTTGCAGAAATTATACAAACTCAGATTATTAATTTCATTTTATTTTTGACTTAGTCCCTTTATTAATCGGGGTTCGCCACAGCGGAATGAACCACCAACTTATCCAGCATGGAAAACACCAATACACTCATTCACACTCATGCAGTATGACCAATTTAGCCTATTTAGCAACGACAACTGACCCAGCCGAGGCTTGATCCAGCGACCTTCTTGCTGTGAGGCGATTGTGTTACCCACTTATAATCTTTATGTTTATACATTATTAGCAAAGTCATAGCAAATACACTGTGAGTATTCACCTTTTCTGCCTCTTAAGAGATGCATGGAAAGAGAAAAAGATGATGGTGAAAAATAGTTGGATTATTCTAAAAGCACAAAGAGAACAAAATACAGGATGACAGTTTGCCAAGCTAGAGGCCATAACCTCTTTCAATACAAACAGTCTTCAAAAACCTGCACTTCATCCAAGTGGCAGCAGAGATGTTTTGGAGGCTGCTGTTGGGCATTGAGCCTGTGTGGGTCAGAGTTAAACAGCTGGAAGAAATCTATAACTGCAGAAACACACAATACACACAGCCCTGTGCTGTAGTACACTACAGTCTGACGGGTTAGCAAAGAGAACAGTCTGACACTGAGAACATACAGTAAGGCTTCTGCAGGAATCACATCGTAATGTTTGTTTGATGTGTTTATTAAATGTTCTGCTGTACATTGTACAGTAGCATGGTATCATGTTGTTGCATGTTTATTACCCTGGCAAAGATATTTAATGCAGTGGTAAAATGAACATCATCACTGGCTACTATATTTTGTGACATAAAAGAGTAATTTTGTTAACCTTGTTTTAATTAAAGGGGTCATGGATTATCTACATTCCTTTCACTAGTTTGAAACCTGTTTGATTTTCTTTCTGCTGTTGAATGCAAAAGAAGAAACTTTCAATAATTTTGGCAACCAACAGCCATTGACTTCCATAGCATTTTTATTTTGTTTCTTCTTTTGGAATTCAGCAGCAACATTCTTCAAAACATCTTCTATTGTATTTTACAGAAGACATTTTATTTATTACTGGGTTTTCTTACCCTAAAAGCTTTTTTAAAAATCATTTAATCATGAATAAATCAAATCCATGTGGATTTAACAAGCTCTACACCATTCAAAAGTTGGTAAGATTTTTATTTTTTATTTTTTGCTAATAAAAAGTCCCTTATGCTCACTTGGCTGCATTCATACACCAACATATACAGTAAAATTGTACTGCTGTCAGAAACTATTACATTTTATTTAAAATTTAAATGCATATTTAATTTTTTTATATGAAACTTTTTATATTTATACTTTTTATATTTTTCTGACAAGGCAAAGCAGAATTTTTTGCACCATTGGTCCACTTTTCAGTAACCCTATCCTTCCATCCTTTATCCTTTTCCATACGGGGCTTTAGAAAAAAGAAAAAAATTATACACTATATATTAAACTCAGGGAGTGACAGACTATACAACATCTATGCAATAATAAAAAAAGAAGCTGTGAATATCATGGCAAACAAACTCCAATTGTCAGATAATATTTGGCTCACACACCTCCAGATTTCATCCCTTTTTTCCCCTCATACAGAAGGGATATTGTGCCAGTAAATGAGTCGTTAACCAAACCATGAGATTTAGACACAATCATTATTTTTAATCAAATGGCAAAACATACTTACAGTGCTTGTAACAACATCCTGAAACAAAAATGGAAACCCTTTTCCCGCCATTATCCCCTTAAAACTACAGAAAATGACCTTAATAATGACTCGTGATTTTGGGTTGAGAGGTTACTTCAGACTTGCGGAAGCAATGTTGTAAAAATACAGCATTTGATAGGGAATGTGAGAGTGAGAAGAAAAATAAAAAATTTTAAGAGAGAGAGACTGCTTGTTGGATTTTAGTAATACTAAAAATATTTTGATGTGTATTTATGTATATATTTTTATTTCCTTCTTATTTTTTTACTAATAGCATTTATATTATTGTTTCAATTATTGTGTGTTTTGATAATTTACTGGTTTAAAGTTGGCTTGAGATTTTTTTTAACTAAAAAAAAACTACAGTAGTTTGAAAAGTAAGCCTTTTGTGACTGTAATAGTTTTGACTGTCATTTGGTCAGTTTGATGCATTTTTAAAGATTTTTTTTTTTTAACAGTTCAAGAGTTCACTCTTAGCTGATGATAAAAGCTTGTTTGGCATGCTGTCCCGGGAGAGAGCCCTGAGCTCATGAGATCCTCAAGCCCAGGGTTCCCTCCTGTTGCAAGGCGGGAGGGGAGTTTGAGCTCAGGTAGATCTCGAGAATTCCCCTGCTGTAGTAAACGATGAACATTAAGTGATTGCTCTTTGGAGATAACTACATACTAGAAGCATGTCTATGGTGCCGATTTGGATTAGTCAATTAACTTAATTTGCGTGTTTTTGGACAGTGGGAGGAAACCGGGGAACCCGGGGGAAACCCACGTGAGCACGGTGAGAGTGCAAACTCCACACAGAAATGTCTGCTGGTTTGGTAAAGCCTGGAACCAGAGACATTCTCGCTGTGAGGCAACAGTGCTACGCACTGGGCCACCGTGTCACCCATCTAGGAAGAAGGAGGATAGGGGTGGAAGGGAGGACTCTTCAAAACCAAGATAGCAGTGGAATGAAACCTAGGGTATTTATAGTAGTTTAGGAGTCATCTGATTGGAGCGTAGTGAATTGGATAATGTGGATCAAGCCGCTAGCAATCATAAGCACGTGATCCTCTCGAAATTAGTCTATACATAAACTTCACTTAATTACAAATATGTTTAGGTAGTTTTCAATTTTATTTTTGTTTCATTTTTTTATAGAATTTAATACACTTTGAAGTCCAACAAGTATAAAAAATAGGTTTCTTTCATTTTTGCTAATTTGAGAAATGTTTGAGGAAAGTTGTTGTATTTTCACAGTCATGCATTATGTTTAGTGTTTGCATTTTCCAGATATGTTGTTGTAGTTTGAGATACAGAATGTCTAAGTGCTCTTGCTTTCAGATATAAACTCAAAAGTTGTGTTCCTTCCAACAACAACAACAAAAAAAAAAAAAACAGAATTGAATATGTTGATGTGTTACTTAACATTTCGTTACTTGACACATTGTGATATTGGCAGCCCTGAGTTGCATTTCAACATACTGTTTATTTGTTCCTAAAATATTGATTTCGTATCAGTGACTGGTGGTGTATCAAAGCCAGCATTTTACTGCTGATGTAACCCAAAGGTGTCCAACTATCATCATTAAAGGCTGTTAAAAATGTATTTTTATTAAATGCTTGCAAATCCAAGAGGAACTTACTTCTCTTAAGAACTATTCATGAAATACAAGTCAATGGTTTCGAGCACAATGAGAGAGAAATACTGTATAAAGTGTATAGTATTCCAACCTGAAAAAACAAACAAACATGTTGTTTCTGGTGATACTGTATGTTAAGGTCTTATAACGTGAAGCAATCATTCTGTGCATAGAATTAAGCATTAATAGCATGAATAAATCAATAGTACTACAACTAATAATAATACCTCTTGAGCATGTTTACATCTGCACCAGCTTCCTGACACACTTTCTTTCACTTGACTTCATGACTTCAATATATTGTCAGAAGCCATATTAAATATGTTTTACCAGATTTTTTTTTCC